TTTGATGCTTCATGTTTTATTGATGCCTTTTTCTGTTTTCACACGAGAAAATACCGAAGGGGCCTTTTAAAAATATGTTATAAAGGGAACCTCAAACAACATTTGTCATCATTTCAGAAGAAAAGCATGAAAGGCCAGGAAAAGATACAAAAGTCCTGTCTTTTATTTTATAATGTGGGATGATACAATTTAATTCAGTTTAAATTTTCTATTCTTTTTATGTTTTATGTCCATCACAAAGGGCAACACATGTGCCTCTATTGTGTTTTGCTAGGAAATTTTCTTGAGGGAAGGTTCGATAGTTTTTCATTCACAGCAAAATTACTAAACACAGTCCAATAACCAGTTGAATCTTTAAGAAAAGAAGCACAAAATAGCTGAAGTGCATTGCGAAACCAAATCAGGAAAACTTAAAATAATACCTCTGCTGGTTTCACAATTAAATAACCATAATTTACTCATGCAAAACATATTGCAGAATTGTAGAATTGTTAAGGCTGGAAAAGACTTCTAAGATCAAGCCCATCTTCTAACCCAGCACTAAACGAAGTGCCCAAGACCTTATATGTCAGTGTTAGTGGCAACAGCACTTGTCTTCTTTACCCACAAAGATGACCTGAGCTATGATGTCTGTCCTCTATAAACTACCCTGGGTTTGACAAGAGATGTCACAGACCAATGCTTCTTTGATACCCAAATTGGCCACAAGTGATGTGGATTCTCCCAAGTAAAGGACCTACTTCTGCTGCAAACTGGAAAATATAGCACAATTGTCTTTAGGCAGTGTTTCAAAATAAAATCCCTACCAGCTTGTTACTGATTGCAGAGTTGCCTTCCTTTGAACAAATCTCAGTTCCACCAGAAGGTTAGGGAGGAACTTATGAGAGACTCTTCTGTAGTTTGCTTTCTCCAGAGCCTGTGCTCTGGGTTTTACTATGAATAAGTCTGATCCTATAGTATAATTTTTATCTTAGTGCTAAAGCACTCCCCCATTGGTGGGCTTCAGCATGAATATTTTAAAATAATATTGGTCTGAAGTCATATTTTCATCACAAGTAAAGGTACAGAACTCACCATGGTCAGAACCCAGGCCAATTTGGGTGGTGTTCTGAGCAACCTAGTGTAGGGGAAGCATCCCTGACCATGGCAGGGGCATTGTAAACAGATGATCTTTAAGGTCTCTTCCAACTCAAACCATTCTGTGATTCTATGATTCTATAACTGCAATCACAGTGACCTGAACTCTTAAGGTTTAGTGGGGCAAGATCCAACCTTTTCACCCTCTCAGAGGATCCCTCTTGGTATCACTTAATGGAAAAGGAATCAAGAGAGATTGAGTGTTCATAACTCCTACTCAGTGTTAACGTTTTCGGACCATCCTTTTCTCCCTCTTAAACAAAATCTTGTAGCCTGTAATCAAGAACATTCTCACCTGGGCTCATTTTGGTTGGGATAGAGTTAGTTTTCTTCGTTATAGCTAACTACCTCTTAAGTCAGAATACCTCTTTCAGGAACAGCAGAGCTCTGTGTTTTTGTCAGTTTTGGAGAGGTTCTCCTGCCAGTGATGTTGCAAAACAGTCAGGTTTGGAGACCTGGCTTGCATTTTATGTTATTGTACTAGTTGATCTTGGCTGTACCAGTTTGAAGCTCCCATTCCTCCTGAACAAATAGCAAATATCCCTTGAGCTTTCTCTGCTTTCTCTACCATTAGTTATTAATATAAAGCAGGATATCCTAATGGTTCTAGAGAAAAGGACCTTGTAGAAGCGCCAGAATACATCCTGTCTGTCAAATTATGCCACTCACTGATACAAAATCACTTCAAGACATCCAAAGCAGTGTGGGCAGCAGGGGAGGGAGGAGATTCTGCCCCTCTGCTCTGCTCTGGTGAGACCCCACCTGCAGTGCTGCCTCCAGCTCTGGGGTCCCCAGCACAGGGAGGACATGGAGCTGTTGGAGCGAGTCCAGAGGAGGCACCAAGATGATCAGAGGGATGGAGCACCTCTGCTATGAGGAAAGGCTGAGAGAATTGGGATTGTTCAGCCTAGAAAAGAGAAGGCTTTGGGGTGATCTAATTGTGGCCTTCCAGGACCTGAAGGGAACCTACAAGAAAGATGGAGAGAGACTATTTACAAGGGCCTATTTACAAGTGACAGGACATGGGGGAATGGCTTCAAACTAAAAGAGAGTAGGTTTAGATTAGATAGGAGAAGAAATTCTTCCCTGTGAGGGTGGTGAGGGACTGGCACAGGTTTCTCAAAGAAGTTGCAGATGTTCCATCTCTGGCAGTATTTGGTTGTGCCACGTTGGACAGAGCTCTGAGCAACCTGATCTAGTGAAAGTTGTCCCTGCCCATGGCAGGGTGTTAGAACGAGATAATCTTTAAGGTCCCTTCAAACCCAGGCTGTTCTATGACTCCATGATTCCATGATTTTCAATACACTGTTGGTCTTGAAGGAATAAATACATATCTGCTTCTCACTTGATTTTCACTAAGCTGCACAACGAGGAGATCTCTGCAATTGACAGGGAGACAGATCTGGAAAACAGATAATATTCAAGATCTTGATATGGGAGCAATTAAAGACTCTGGAAGGTAGGCTGAATTAATCCTTCAATGCAATACTTTAATGCAGACATATTTTATGATGTATCTAAGCAACAAGATAATAGGGAACATAGAAAGACGGAAAAAGGGAAAGTATGCGGCAGGGTAAAAGTGAAGATACAGCTGAGGAAAATGCAGACATATTTCTAATAATCTATTTATTTTTATTCTTTTTTTTTCTCCCTAGAAATCTGCATCTCTATACTGATATGCACTATTGCCAGGTGAATTAAAGATTTTATTTTGCATGTCTTACTCTTTGTGAGAAAATAAATTCATTTTGGAAGGAAGCAGTAGATGTTGATTTTTTTTAAATCTGAGCTGTCATCTTTTAAAAATATTCAACAGTTGGTGTGAGATGTATTATTTCAAAATGAGTGCCAAAATCTTTCAATATAACATTTGATTTTATTCCAGAGAGAAACACTTCTTTGAAGTATACCTTTGCCTATCAATGAGCCGGACTATAAAATTTTGATTATATATGGTATATATTAATAAAACACCACTCTGTAACAGTTAAGGTATTAAGAACAGGAAAAGACTCCAGACAAGAAAGAGGAAAAAGTATTTTCCAGTTATCATTAATGGCTAATATAAGACTGTAAGAAGAAAGAAACACAAGGGGGAAAAAAAGAGATAAAATATATTCATAGAATAGTAGAATTTTCAAGATCAGATAAGCATTATTACAATTATTTAGGGTTTGTACTCAAGTTTCTCATTCCCTTTATCTTTCATGATGAAGAGAAGTGTGCGTGGAAAGTAAAAGGCCATGGTGACAGGGTGAGCTCCAGGGATGGAACCGAAGTGAATTTGCAAAGCTAATAGGAGATGAAAGAGGAACTAAAAACTTTAATGGTTTCTTTCCTGCAGGTCGTCTCCAAATGCTGGGTCCTGCCTACAGGTCAGAAAATGAGGGCAGCTAGAGAGAAACAAAGGTCTTACTGACCTTGTTCTCCAATAGAGAAATGAGATGCTGAGCCTAGGAAGGTGGTTTTATCAAGTCTTGAAATTAATTGCCACAGAACTGGCAATTCAGGCAGTATCCATGTCATAACGTGTGCTGTCTTTTTGATGATAATCAGTTATTTCTCCTCTTGACCCAGCCTCCTCAACCACCTCTCAGTAGCAATGAACATTTTTTTTAAGATCCACCTGTTCTTTCTTGCCCATCCTATTCAGTCAGGGCTGGCTTCAGAAATGGATGCTCATCTCTCTCAGAAATTAGCAAGATCCCTGTAGCTAAGCATTAAAGATTCATCCATTTACTCAGTTTTCAAAGTCTCATTTCATCCCTTTAAAGCTCCCGCCAGGAAAGTCTTTACAATCAGAATGGGCCTCACGATCTTGCAGTCACCAGTGTTATCAAACAGGATCTGATTCTTGTTAAGTAGTATTAAAACCCCATCAATAAGCATTTGGAGGGATTTGTGAAGATTTTGGAGGCATTTGGGGGAATTTGGGGGAGATTTGGAGGAGATTTGGGGGAATTTGGGATTTGGGAGAAGTTTGGGGGGAATTGGGGGCATTTGGGTAGATTGAGGGAGGTTTGAGGGGATTTGGGTAGGTTGAGGGAGGAGTGGGAACGACGGAGGGATTTTTGGGTGGGGCTCCCGCTGCATCTGCCCCAGGTGTGTCCATGGGATTGCAGGTCCCTGAGACTGGGGGGGAGGAATTCCAGGGATCCCAGGGAAAGGGACCTGGACCTTGGACAGGATCAGGGCGAGGAGCCGGGAGGGACCCTCCCCACAGGGACCCTCCCATAGAGACTCCTCAGGGCCCCCAAACCCCAGGCCCTCCCCCAGAAGGATCCTGAGACCCCCACTCCGCAGGTACCCTCATCCCTCAGGGACCCTCCATATGGACCCCCCTCAGCGACACCTCCCACAAGGACCCCCCACAAGGACCCTCGAGGGCCCCCCAGCCCCACAGGGACCCCAGGCTCCCTCATCCCCCAATAGGGTCTCCCCCACCCTATAGGGACCCCCAGCCCCATGGGAACACCCCCCACCCCCTATAGACCCATAGCCCCCATAGGGACTCCCTAGCCCCAAGAGGGACCCCTCTGCTCCCATGGGAACACCTTAGCCCCATTGGAACCTCCTCACCCCCCTATAAGATCACCAACCCCACATATAGGGACCTTCACACTGTCTATAGACTCTACACTCCCATAGGGACACCCCCACCCTCTATAGGACCACCCACCATTATCCCACCATATGGACCCCCCAGCCCCACAGGAACCCCCTCCCAGCCCCTATAGACCCCACACCCCCTATTGGGACTGCAGTGCCCGACCTTGGCCTCCAGGTGTCAGCAGCGAGCGCTCTAATTAATATGCAATATATGCTAATAACCTTATTACTATTGATAAACTTTTTTTTATTATGTCGAAAAATTAAATGCTTTTTCGCCCTATTTTTTTCACACAAACTCCTAGTGAATTTTCAGGGGTTTTTGGGCCATTATCTCCCTTTTTTGAGGGAAGGCAACCTCAGCTACTGGGTGTTCAAAGTCAATTTTTGGGAGGTCAAAGACATTTTTCTGGTGGTCAGACCTCCCCTAAAATGATGAAGGGACCCCAAAATGATGAGGAACCCCCAAAATGATGAGGGGACTCTAAAATGATGGGAATCCCCCAAAACGATGAGAAGACCCCGAAATTATTGGGAAGGGAAACCCTCAAAATGACTGGGAATGCACTAAAAATTACAGGTACACACTGAAAATAATGGGAAACTCCCCAAAGTGATGAGAGGACCATGAAATGATGGGGAACCCCCCAAAATGATGAGAGAACCCAAAAATAATGGGGAACCCCTAAAATGATGAGGGAATCCTAAAAATTACAAGGACCACCTCAAAATGATGAAGGGACCCCAAACGGATGGTGAAACCCCAAAATGATGAGGGGAACCCCCCCAAAACGACGAGAAGATCCCAGAATTATCAGGAACCCCTCAAAATTACTGGGAACCCCCCAAAAATTACAAGGACACCTCCAAAATGATGGGGAGTCCCCGGAATGATGGGTGACCCTCCAAAAATGACAAGGACCCCGAAATGAGAGGGAACACCTCAAAATGATGAAAAATGAGAAACAAGGAAAACCCCAAACTTTGCTCAAACAACACTAAACGTCAATTCAAACGGACTGGGCCAGAACTTGGACCTTCTCAGGTGCATCTTAGGCGGGTCTAGGGTCTGGTGCCCCAGTGTGAGCCTGGCTTTGCTCAGTGTGGCTTTGCTGAGCCTGGCTTTGCTCAGTGCCGTTCTGCTGAGATTGGCTTTGCTGGGCGAGGCTTTGCGGGGCAAGGCTCTGCTCAGCCTGGCTTTGCTGAGCAGCCCACTGCTGAGCACCGCTCTGCTGGGCCTGGCTTTGCTCAGCATGGCTCTGCTGGATGAGGCTCTGCTGGGTGTTGCTCCACTGGGTGAGGCTTTGCTGAGTGCCGTTCTCCTGAGCATGGCTCTGCTGGGCTCGTTTTTGCAGGGTGCCACACTGCTGAGCGAGGCTCCACTGGGCGCAGCTTCGCTGGGCCCCCCACCACTGAGCGCCATTCTCCAGAGCGTGGCTCTGCTGAGCCTGGCTTCGCTCAGCGTGCATCTTCAGGGAGAGCATTTGAATAGCGAGGCTCTGCCGGGTGAGGCTTTCCAGGGTCCGTCTCTCGCGGGCGAGCTGCTCCTCTTTGCTTTGCACGGCGCCGTACTGCCGAGCCCGGCTTTGCTGAACCTGGCTTCGTTGGGTGTCCCCTTTCAGGGCGCGGCCTTGCTCAGCGCCACTCAGCTGAGCTCGGCTCTCCTGAGCCTGGCTTTGCTGGGCTCGGACTTGCAAGGCCGAGCACTGCTGGGCGCAGGAGGCCCAGAAATGGCTGGGCAAGCCCAACCAGCAGAGCAGGAAGATTATGTGCAGGACAAAGCTCAGCATTAGGGCCACGAGCAACAGCCAGAACCGGTACCCACAGAGCTCGTCCATCCTTAGTCCCAGCGGCTCCTCGGATTTATCTGGAAAAAGAGAGCTGTCCAGGGTACTTGGAGGGGGTCTCTGGGGTCCCTCTGGGAGGTCCCTATGAGTTTAACAGAGGAGGATTTATGGGATTCAGTTTCCACGTTCCTGTGCTTTGAAGTTGTTCCCATAGTCTTCCCTGTTTTCAGCTTTTCAGCACTTTGCCATCTACCACAATATTTAATTTTTAATAATTTTTATTTTATATATTCTTACTATATATTTTATATAAATTTCTATTTTAATTATTATATATTGTTTTAAAACTTACACATTTTTACTTTACATATTATGTATTATGTTTTATATTTATATTACTATAATTTTTTGTTTTTTATTTATAAGAATTTTAATTTAGATATTTTTATTAGTACATATTTTATACTTGTATTATATATTATGCATTATTTTATTGATTAAATTTTATGTATTTTTATATATTTTTTATTTCTATTTATATTACATAATCTTTAAAATTAGTAAGAATTTTAATTTTGATATCTCCAACATATTTATATTGTTTCATTAATAAAATTTTAATTTTGTATATTTATTATATTTTATATTTATATTTGTATTACATATTTTACTAATAGTTTAAAGAATCCCACCTGGGAAGGTCCAACCCCCTTCCCAAATAGGGAAGTTTTTGGGACTAGAGGGGAGGGATTGAGCCAAGAACCACCCCCAGACCTCCCACTAACCCCAGGGACCCCCAAATCTCAGAGGATCCCCCAAAACGCCCATAACTTCCGGACCCCCAAACCCCTCAGATGCCCCATAATGCCAGGAACACCCAAGCTCCCAAAACTCTGGGACCCCCCAAACCCCAGTGACCCCCCAACCCTCAACCACAGGGACCCTCAAATCCCAGAGGGTCCCCCCCAACACCCCTTAACTCCAGGACCCCTCAAAACTCTGTGACCCCCAAATCCCAAGCCCCCGAACCACAGAAACCTCCTCCCCAACCCCTCATAACCCCAGAGACCCTCAAACCTCATGGGAACCCCCAAATCCCCTGTAACTCCAAGGCCTCCATAGCCCTCAGACCCCCCATAATCCCAGGAACCCCCAAACCCTAAACCACAGGGACCCCCAAATCCCAGGGACACCCCCTGCCCCCCCCATAAACCCAGGAGGGTCCCTGAAACTATGGGGTTTTAAGGGTTCCCCTGGGGTTTGGGGGGTCCTGGAGTTAGGGGGGGATTTTGGGGGTCCCTGGAGTTTTTGCGGGGTTTGGGGGTCTCCAGAGTTTGGAGGGGGGGTATCTGAGGTTATAGGGGACTGGGGCGGGGGGGGGCGTGTCTCAGGTTTGGGGGTCCCGGAGTTATGGGGGGATTTGAAGGTCTCTGGTCTTTGGGGGCTCTCCGGAGTTTTGGGGGAGGGTCTACGGGGTTTGGAGGTCCCGGAGTTATGGAGGACTTGGGGGGTGGAGGGTTCCCCTG